TCATGTAAATGTTGGAACAAATCAACTAAATGTTTCTTCTTGTCTAGCGACTTAGTTTGAGGTACAGCAGCGTAAAAAATGTTACTTCGTTTACTAATAAGTTTTAGACTAAAGCATGCAGTTGGTCACCATTAGGGTTCTCGAGAAACAGTAGGCTTAATGAGCCATCGTTATTTTCTTTAAATATGGTTGATATTATGTCGCCATTCAGTATACAAACAGTACAGATGCTAAGAATATTATTTTACTGTATGTTATTGACCTCAGCATAGCTAATTCACCTGCTTTGTACCATATACAGCTTCCAACGGCCACTGTTAAACACGAGCACATTTCCCGTACCAACAGCTACAAGGCACGACTCCGCGTACCTTAGCAAAAATGCTGAGAAAATTCACGCAGTAGATTATAGCAATTGACCTTTTTTAACAAAATCTGAGCACATAAAGCAATTGAAGATCAACAACAAGACTTATGTTCGGCGCCACATCTGTATTTACCGTTTGGGAATTTTGCAGAGTAACAGTGAAACTATAATGGGCTATGCTGACTATTTTTGTTGAAGATTCGCCACAAGCACATGCAGCCGTACTAACACTGAATTTCGGAGAAGCGCATGTGGGCTGTTTCCTGTTTGAAGCAACCGTTAGACGTTTTCCTGTGAGATAGCAACACGCGCACCTAGGGGTTGAAACAAATCTTAATGGAAAATAAAGAACCTGATTCCATAACGTAATTTCCTCGCGCGGAATGGATAGAATATCTCCTGCGAGCATTGTAGGCCACAAACCATAGAATGCTTGTTATTTGCCAAAAGATGTGCACAATTTGAATAATGCGTAGGTAGGAAAGCTGCAGTGAGTCTAAGTTTGTTAACCTAGAATTCTTGAGGTCATAAACTGCAATGTCATTTTCGCTTCAGCTTGACAAAGTCGAACTAATGGTAGGAAGTTTAGAGGATTCTTTGATAAATATCTAAATGTGCAAGCACGAACTATTGAAACGCTCCTGTTTCCTCAAGAACAAGTACAAAACCGGTTCGATTGCGTTGAACTTTCTAGTTTCGCGCAGCTAGAAAAAGCTGTAGAAAAATGAAAACTAGATTGCAACTTCCGATAATTTATCGACATGCAGTTGGAAACAAATGTAGACAGAGCAAAGTGTAACGTCTTATTTTAAATTTATTACTTTTAAGTGAATGCGCACACTTTGTCGGGCACAACGTGATTCAGTGCCATTTTATTTGCTGATAAGAAACTAACAGTAATTTAACTTAGATTGTCCTAGGCAGCCTGCCACAAAGTTAAAATTTTCAGTGTTTCACTTTGTTCATACTAGAAGATCGAAGAGTGTCCCCCGCAACTTCAGAAACATAAAAATGATTGTGTTGGTAAACATATTCCTGACGAGTGTTATGTGCCTCCATATGACTTGTATGGAAATGTATTGAGAGGACTTACCGTCTACTATTGCATACTCTCAATCACGCATCAGTAATCAAAGCAGTGAATCGGTTTATTTTCTTTAATTTGTGTTGGGCTAACGTTTTCGCAAACATCGAGCTGATACTTGCGTACTACTTGTGAACACAACCTTGGTACTGCTCCATTGGTCATTAAAGAAAGCGAAGTAATTATACGCGTGGTAACCTCATATAAATAAATCTGGATACGTTTGGTCTTAAACAGTCGCTGTAGGTGCTGAGGAACCAAATACGTGTTTTGACTCGTAGCGTAAAAGAAGGGAACTATGATCAAAACGCATGAAAAGGCGATATTGTGACCCAATTTCAGGTGCGCAACTACAGCACTTCATGAAGGTAAGTTTCATCACATACCCGGCATTCCGTCAATAAGCTCGCATGGCATGCACCAAAGAACTGAGTTGAATTGGAACTGGAATTGTTGCAGCCTCTTGGCCAACACGATTGGGCGCAGGGCGTCCAGCGTACTAGTGTTTTTTCGGAAAGGCGTTCGCAGCCAACCGTATCACTTACTTACTATTTATGTGACAGACCAAACACTTGCTGTAACCTAGGGAACTTACTATTAGTTAGTGCTGCGTATAAAAACCAGTCAACCTTTACATTATTCAATACGATAACTGTCTTTCAAAGTACCGGCGCACAGTCTACATTAAGGACCAGGGCTTCTCAATTTTACGAGGGAGAAATAAGATGTTTTGAATGGTATACTTAAAAATCCATCGCATGAAGCCTCAGTCAAACGGACACCAACCACCTGGAAATGCACTGTACGGCCGTTTAAAACTTTTGGGACTACACTTCCATCTGAACGGCAGTGACCTTCAAGCCAGTGAGTGATATTCGCATATGCATCATATTTATTAACAGGCACGAGAATCGTCGTCTTTATTTGTTGTCCCTGCCTATCCACAGCTCTCATGGTATTGATAACATTTGACCAAATGCTTTACAGGCAGCAGCCATTGATCTGGCCGTATATCTGGTTATTTTTATCAGCGCTGTCTGGAGAACCATATTCCAATAATATAGAGGCGAAGGGTCATCACTCCTATACATAACGAAGCTAGTGGCGCTGCTCCAGTCAATTACCGTCCTATAACGTTACTCCCTATGTTTTCCAGGGTTATGGAGTCTATCATCGCTGTTGCACCCATGAAGTATCTGGAAAATCAAAAGATGGTAGCACCAGAGCAACATGACTGACTGTTCAAGCAGTCAGAGGCAGCTGCGAAGAGAGCCAACCAACTTGTCAGCTTGCTTCGGAGGGCATTCGGAAGATTTGACCCATCCACCTTCTACATACTGCACAATTCTTACGTGCGCCTATCCGTTGAATACGCCATCCAAGCTTGCCAATCTTGGTTGAAGCTAGACTTAGAACTGCTAACGAAACCACAACGCAGCTCCACAAAGAACATCAAGGGCTTAAGAAATCTGTCCTACCATCAAAGGCTGAAGTCACTTGGAGTTTTCAATGACCATTACTGAAAGTCGCGTGGCGTTCTCATATTAGTCTCCAAAATATTGTGTAATACTAATCACCTATGCTGTCAGTTGCTGAGACTCAGCCATGACACCAATCGCAGTGGCAATCCTCTGAAATTTTGTGCAGAGTACAGCCGCCTGGAATGCCGGCGGAATTATTTTTTCGAGTTGGATAACCCTGGAGCTCTCTCCTGAAATTCATGGCTTCCTAACTGATCTCTTATATTCATAAACAACGATTGGATCTTTTCCTTGGCCACCATCACTTCGTTGACTAAACTGTGCTACTTAGGAATATATTACTTATCCCTCCAAACCGGATTAAGTTGTTGCCTAAAGCTGAGGAATGGTTACAGCATTGAGTAGCCTTGATTTTGCTGTTCTCAAGGAGTACAACAACCATAACTGTCCCCTGTTGCCTCATCGTTCGCATTTATTTTCCACTTGTACCACTACTATTCAACGGTGTAGCTGCTAGATAAACGCTCAAACGGACAACACACCTATCTTTTGATAATTGTAGTTTTACCCTCACCATCCTGAGGGACTTTTCAAGCAATTGCTTTTTTACCCAGCATAAATCATTGTTAATTGTTCATTGCGCCCCAGGGACTCAGTGTTCCCAACCTCAGACCGACAACCCTCGATTTGTGGGCCGGGGTCTCAAATAATTCAGATAGAATTTAAACCGCTGACACTTGAGAAAATGATGAAATGGTCGTACATTGCCTTTCCGAGTGTGTTAATGGTGTCAGAATAAGTCTAAATATGATGGGCTTCTACATGGTCGCAATTCTAAATGCGGATACACTAAGTTCAATTATTCTGTTAAAATTCAACTACAGACATACACGAAGGGACTCTGCAGGGAACAAGGTCAAAAAGCAAGCGAGTGCATCGAGGGTTGGTACCCAGGAGAAACAAACAACTTTCACTTAGACCTAGATACTGCCGATGAAGCGCTGAAGGTCAAATCAATACTTCGCCCCAGATCAGCACTGCAAAGAAACGTCATTGAGACGGACTCTATAATCAAAGGAAAGCATGAGCTGACTACACGGTCAGCACAAGCCGACTAATCGAATCCAGACTTTCGAATCATTAAGTGATCAATCATCTTTTGAATCAGTAAGTGGCTTGCATAAATCGCACTGACGAAGTCATCTAGCCTGACGATGAAAAGTCTGCAGCGAAATCCGTCAGTTCGGAGGACACTCGCATACCCTCATCCGCATCCAGAGCTACAAATATTTTCACGAATTTCCAAACTGTTAGTGTATTTTGCGTAGAACTCAGGTTTGGTAAATACATGTTGGTCTTCACTTTCCTGATTTCACATAAATAATTCACAATGTTTTCAGCGCTAACATGAGAGACCGTTTATCACTTTTGAAAAAAGCAACTGATAGTGCGGAAACGTGATAACGCAATTTCTAGCATCGCTTCTATATAACAGCATAGAAAGACTAATTGCTCTGGTGTCACATTCATCAAACGTGTGTTAGAAACGACGAGTTCCATTAACAACAACCCGCAGTCCGGATATATAGGATGGGTGTTTAGAAAGTGAAGCACTTGCGCATACAAGTTTTCCACAAGACTAACTTTGTTATCAAGGATGGTTATCGTCTTACTCGGATCGATATAAGTAATCGCCATTCAAATTTAACCCTTTGTTATTGGTTTTATTGTTTAACCAATGCAAGACTAGCGAATCAACAAAGATTCTTCGGACATTTGTATCGCCCACAATCCATCCTTGACTAAAATAATGGCAAATTAGTTTACCTCACGCTTTACCTTTGACACGATATTTTTGACAAGGCTTAAGGTAAATTCGTACATAACCAGCCGTTGTTTTAAACGTTCCAGTTGAACAAAGCAGTAAAATTTCTATTACCAAACTACCACCCTCGGAAAACATATAAAACCAGAACGTTTCAGGTACCCTACCTTTGTGTGACTTGCTGACAATATGCTGCATGGTATTTATTGGAAAGCGGGTTATTATCGAAAGCATTTAACTAACCAATTACACAGCCGGCTGCTCCGCCGTTGAGCCGAATTTCACGGAGGTTGACCTGTTCATCTCGGAGTCTATCACGAATTGTGCGGATCATTTGGAGTAATGGAACGTGTAGAACTGGTAGGCAATCAGTACTACTTCCACAAGCGGTATCAGGTGAAGTACGATCATTAGGCATTCCAGATGCTGATGGGCACGCAGGGCAAAAACATGCTGGGAAATACGCACCTTGAGGAAGCGCGTTTGACTGATTTGGTCTTTGTGAGTCAGTCTGCCATGAAATACAACTTCTAGCACAGAGGTCATTTAAATCCGGATAGACAGTCGGAGAACAGCCCGAACAACAGCCCCAATCCACTGGCCTAGGCGAAATGGCCAACTGTGTTCGTAGCACCGTATCCAGGCGTTTCAGCTGTTCGTAACTAAACACATGATACCGGTTGAATGGTTGGGCCGTGGTAGACACATGACTAGCACTGACTGAATTATTGGGGAGGGGCTTATTTGGGCCAAACAATTCGGCCGTTCCGTTCGGTAATATTTTTTCCTCAGAACTGCCACTTTCGCAACAGTTTGTCTCTGAAGAAATGGTGGACTTTGTTAACCTTGGTAGTGTGACGCGTGTCCGCCGTTTTCTGATTCTCGGACGAACGGATTTGATGCGGTTCTCAAATATGTTTACCCGTGTTGTCATTTTAGATGCATACATCAAACATTGCTGCCTTTGATTTGGTTTCAATTTAGTTTTTTGACCTTGATGTAAGGGCGATGTCGTCAGCAAGAGTGGTCTAGATGCGAGTGCTTGATACTGCGCAACTCTGTTGTTCGGAGTGACTTTCTGAGAACAGCCACGATACCAATGTTGTCGGAATCGATCACGGAATGTGGTTTATTCCCAGCCATGAGTTACAAATATTACATTCGTTGTTTAGTAATCCACCTTGTAAACAAAAGATTACGTTAATGGATCATAAACACACTCTTGAACAACTCCAACGATGTCCGGAACTGAAAGCTTCCTATTGGATGGATACACGCACATGTGTTAGGCAATACTCAAACCCCAGACGCCAGCCGTTCTACTCGCGGCCGTAATCAATGGCATCTCCCAGTTGTGATTCGTTCGTTGTATTACCAGTGACCTCGACCCACACACAGTGATTGGTAGAAAATCTTGCCGGCCGGCACGCCATATAGCGTGGTTGCTGCACATGCCAAATTTACTCTCGTTAATAACCTTTTTTCAAATGGCATCTAACAGATTGGTGCTCAAGTAGTTGATGTGCATTCATTAAATCACTCCACGGTTAGTCGGAATGGTATCCAACAGGATTATTGACGAAAGCCCACCCATACAGTTTTCTGCCTTGCGGCATTGCATAACTATTTCTGTCTGTACCCATCTAAAAGACTATGGGAAAGCAAAGCATTACCCAGAAATAATCAATGAGCTCTTGCAAATCAGCAAACAAAACGTCGGAGCAATTTGTACACCCGTTTTGTTCTTAAGCAAATTTAAAACAGCAATAACCATTATTCTAGTCAGCTAATAAAATCTACGCCAAAAGCAACTCGTAGTTGGCTTGAAGTTGGGGGTCAGTGTTCAGACTAGTTTACGGGTTAGCCTTATGTGCAACATGTATTTGACTTGCTAGGAGACTTAATTTGGAGAAGTGCTAACCCATCCAATCAGGCAGTGCATGATATAGCTGCGGGTTTCTCACCATTTTGTATGTGCTACCCATTGCACTCATGTAACTGTGACTGATTGAATGTAGTTCGTAGTTCATTAAATTTGGTTTAAATGGACTTAATCAGGATGAATTCTCTAGCTCCACGCTGGTCATCTACAGGGTCGCAACCTGAAGAAACTATTTCGAAATGTTTTGAATTGCATTTTGAAAAATGACCAGGTATAGTTATAGAAAGCATATTCGATTGTTTTTAATACTCTTAGCTCTGTTGTGCTGGTAACACATAAGACCGTTTTATTGCACCGTCTTCGAAACCAGGGGTAACCCGTCTGAACATTATTACACTAAAATCACAATTCCCGAAACTACTGGATGGATTGCTCGTGATAAGCAACTAGCGATACGCTAGATACAATCAATTGTTGTTCAGTGGTAACCTGATATAACTTTTAGTTAAAAATTATGGTTTACAAAACGAAACAGGCTACCGGGAACCCGGCTAATCATACTTGATGATTACCTCGTGCAAACTTATCTATTACTTTGACTTCCTTTGACTTATGTCTACTTGTATATTTATCTCTCAGGCCCAGCTATTGTTTGGTCGGATAATTCCTTCCCCATATAGAAGCTCCACTGTTTTTTCATCTTCTCTTAACGTAGAATAAAGTTGGTGCGGCGATGAAACGAACAGAAACTGATGCTTCACGGGTTGTTGTTAAACTTATGTGTCCATTTACTATGCGAACGCTACTGGGGCATTACGGATTAAAAGGTCGAACTGGTGGAATAATTAATCTATTTGATCCTAAGCCTTACTTGCAGAGAACTGGGTGTTGAATGTTTTACTCCTATCTAGTGAAAATGGCTTCTGTTTCATCCCACTGAGTGCAGTACTTTTCTCGTAAGTACTCGCAACAATTGCGTAGAATGCCTGCTAACGACGCTTCTGGTATGGTACTGTTGTAGGGTGGCGCAAGTCATTAACTACATGTGGGCTGGAAAGACAAAAAATGGAGATATGGGAATTCACAACGGGCACAATGGATGAGGCGAGACAAGACAGTTCGAGCGTTGCGTATCGAGCCAACTTGGGATAACGAGTGAGGTCTAGGAACGAGCCTGGTAATTATCGTGAACGCAGTGAATCAAACAAATAGGCCGCTAGCAAAGCCCCCAGGATTGGACGCGTTCCAAGTAATGCATTCACCGGAAAGTAAATCGCGAGCTTTCAAACGACTCTTGGCAGGCCAGAATTGGAGGTTAGGAATAGGAGATACGGAATGAAAACATAGAGGGATGGTTCCAAATTTTAAGAATGTATGCACATAGTATAGCCCGTCAAACACATCCACATCCAAGTTGCTTTGTGGGAACGAAACACGGCCCAGATCTTTACGAGTTTGTGACTTATCAGTTGAACATTGTTGTGGTAATATACGCTCTGCCCCCTCTCGCTTCGTTCTCACTGCACTATAAATATGCTGAACACCATACCACTTTATTTTATTGCGGCTCATTCTCTCTGGTGGACCACATTTTTGATAATTCTCCTACACCCTAATCTATAACCTGATGCAACGTTTTTGTGATGAATAGTTGGCCACAAATGATTTGTTTTCCCGGTAGGTGACATTATGCAACCGAATAATAGTATAACACTCGGGTATTTATTGTGCAACGTGCAGCTACCTATCAGTTGGCAGTAGCAGAAACTCCAAGCCCTAAATGATTTAGACCATTTAATAATGTCATAGCACTAAATACAGAAGTTGTAAAGAATAGATAAATAGAAGATGGAAGAATATAGAGCAATACGGAAGTATAACCGGCTACTAGGTGGCCCGAATAGCCATTTCCGTTGGTTCAATGTAGACCATTTTCCGGGATATCCAAAGTAAATGTGAGTCTTTAACCAGTATAATATAAATGCATGATAAGTTGCCGAGAGACATTTAGTGACTAACGAGAAGGCGCTGAAAACTACTCCCAAATAAATCCAATCTGACTCATCTCCGTAATTGTCCAAACTCATCTTAATCGTTTATTAGAAATATTGTTTTTGATATTACAGACATCCCTTGCTGGGCACCAAACCAATTAGTCAACTAAAGTTTACATGTCTGAAGGGAACGTGTCGCGTTAAACCAGAGATATCCATAGTAGCTGCCGCTCATCCTTGTGACCGGTGCGTTTACTCAGTGGTTATACAGCGAGGTCTCGCCCCAGAAGAATGATTGAACATTGCTGGAAATTCTAGCGAGGACAAACCGGCCATTGGGTGCTATATTGAGATGCTTTGACCGCCTTTTCTTGTGGCTTTGAAGTTTATCTGCATCATTATACCACTAAGAAAGAGGCGATGAAAGAAAATGGAACAATAGAACATTGGAACTATGGGGTATTACGGGTAAAATGACAATGGCTAACAACTTAGTGGAATGAAAATTGTGGCTAAAATATGATTGCTTGATAAAGTGAAAAGCGCTTTGATGTACCCACCATAGAGTTATGTAGCATAGCGGAGATGTTCGGGCATTAAAAGTATAAATCCATGAACCCATTGGTTGGGAGTTTGGTAAGACACGGTTTGAATGCGGTTTGTAACTCCTAGCTAACAAGTTATAAAATGAAATGCAAATAAGACAGCGCATTGTCAACTTGTTTTTTAATTATGGCCAGATTGGAAGCAGAGATGCTATAATTAAAAAGGGCGTTTCAAGGCTGGCACGCGCGGAGGGAAAATAAATTCCTGCGGCATTTAAGCCGGCTATATTGTATTCTCCGTTTCGGAGGATGACCTCTTGGGTTAGTGTTGTGGTTCAATTCCAACAGCGGACGGCCAATGTGCTTTAGGTTCTGCAGAATCTGATAAACCATTATGAGATCCTCCGCAAAAGCCGATATCGACTGCTATATATTCTTAGAGATTTCAGTCGAATGTGATAGGGCAGATGAAATATGCCCCTAACGTTCTTAGTTGCCCTTCGCAGTGGAGTCTCGAGAGCAACAAGATCCTGTTTCTGCCACGGCTGCTACATCCATATAGCATATTCCACGTGCAGCCGCATGTACGCTCTTCAAATCAAGCCGAAATGTTGATTGCCGGTTCTCGTCGCCTGCTTGTTTCGAACACCCGAGATCTTCCTCTACCAATACACCCAGGTTACCCTCCTGAGAGACCCCCTTCATGGTGTGGTCTCCAAGCTTGTAAGTGCTCACCGGCTGGTGAAGCAGATGGATCACCGTGCACTTAGCTAAGTTCAACTGAAGCAGGTTCCTCTTTGACCATTCATAAATTAATCTAGTTCATATTGGAATAGATGGTGATCTTCATTGTTCCTAATAGCCCGCCATATCTTGACGTCTTCGGCGAAAAGCTGGAAAGTTAAAGAGACAAATCTTGCCAGGTCCTTGATAAATACAAGGAATAAGTACGGTCCCCGTACTGAACCCTGTGGGCAACACATTCTGCTTCCAACGGGTTAG